GGGACTAAATTGTGAAACTATTTTACTTTATTTGCACGGACAATTTTCGTATAAGTAGCTCTACCTACGATACTGGCTACTTATCTTTTTACCTCTTACCACCATCTAGCCTACTCTCTGGGTACAAGTATCTACCTGTGGTCTAAATAAACCCTGGTCAAGCTTACTGTGTGCCTGCGCGAGTGAGGCGTCATCTTGGTAAGATCCCACCTTACACTACCTCTGTGGTTCCGTCTAACTCGGATGGCGAATACATGGTCTAAAATGCTGACGAACGGGAAAGTGTTACCTTGGGTCTATAAATACAAGTGACAGTCATACTGTACATTCGATTGAGGGCAGAAATAAGTTGAACTTCACAGAAAAAGAAACCCCACTGAGTCACTAGGAAAGATAATAGTAGTCGTACGTCCGGTCTCCTTCAGGTACGGGGAGTCCATCCTCGCTTCAGCTTTGAATCCTAGATAATGAAAATGCGGCGAGAAAAACGCGAGTATTGATTACCAAAAACACACCGGTATATTACCGATTCCAAACAGATCCGCTCGCTCCCCAAAAAAATGAGTCGGTCAAACGCCTTTGACCGAGGTCTATGCCACGAGGATCTCACGGCTTCGCTGCTTTGACTGAAGCCATTTCCACATTCGTCTTCAGCAGCGACGAATACCGTTCGATGCCACAGACAGCTCTCATTCTCATTGTCTAGCTTCATTGTCTCGCTATGCCACATCCACATCCCCCATCGTATAAATACTCTGTACATATTCCTCTTTTCCTTTGTGTCCTCTTTCTCTCTTCACATCTCACATAGCTCGATAGGTACCGTTTCCTCGTGTCCTCTTTCTCTCTTCACATCTCACATAGCTCGATAGCTTCGGCTTCGAAGCTTTTCTTTTTCATCCCACCCTTACCGCTGTCCCATTTTCTGTTTGTTTCTCTGTTAGTTAGGCTTAGCTACTGTCTTGTACTACGTACTACGCCAGAGCCGGCTTGAGCATTGGCCCACTTTCGGTCCACTGCGAGAGAGCTCGGGCGTCCAAACAAGTTTGTTTGTCCCCAGTTCACTCTCCTCTCGTGATCCCTCACCCTCTCGAAGACGAGCAAGCATAGACGCCCAACGAAGGTGTTCGAGTTAGTTGAAGCAGGTATTGAAACGACGGACACTTCAACCGAGTGCAGCTCGCATTGACCACGGGCAATTGAACCCTCGTTTCCAAGCGCAAAAATGACCATCCATATCCTCCAGAGGGGTGCTACATCTTCCACAGTTGGACGTGATAATGGTGAAAGGAAGGAATAAGGTCGAGTCGTAAAAACGGAATTGAGAAGAAATTCGAGGTGTTAAAGGATAAAATGTTGAGAAGGCCCAAGGCTTGGAAATTTATGGGGTGGATACGGGTTACGTCCTGGCCTACTTCCCCTCTTTTGCTGATCAATGCGGTGAAACCTGTAAAAATACCTTCATTTGTTTCCAGTTATAGTCTTAAAGGGGAAGATATTGATGTATAGCTTCTACGTTTTAGGGTTTATGAATCATATTTGAAACCCTCTAACCCAACCGGCCGAAGAATTGTTGAAGACAAGATGAGGAGAGATTCAGAAGGAAAAATGGCGTAATCGGAACTTTGGAGTGTGGCTATGCCCGTGCCGTGTATCACTTGAGTCACTGTATGACAGTCACCCTTATGTTCTCCTCCTCCTTCCACCGCGAGCTCGACGCGACTCGTAGCTCATTCGCCACCCCTCAGTTCTGCCATCCAACTCGAGGCTCATTGATGTTTTTCTTGTTATACACGGTTTGGGCATAAGCAGCAAGCTTAAAGAACGAAGAAGGGTTCGATGCTGTATTGGTTATGACATCTGTCTAACAAAAATCTTTTGTCTTTGCCGCAGAAGGACCCCAGTTCGAGCCTAGGTCGGATCACTAGTCTGCTAGCACATGGGTTTTTGTTTTCTCGTTGATGGGTTCTTGGTTAGCGGTAGGAACGGGTTCGTGTTATTGTTTCTTGTTTCTCGTAACACCTGTCGGCCGCGCGCGCAGTCAACGCCGTAGTTTTTATACATAGATCATCGTCTTATCTGCTCCGTCAATCACTCCTAAATGAGTGTCGTTTCCCACATTCTCCCGACGATACCTCAACCTCAAGATTCATGTGATGCCTCTGAGCCTAAAATGTATAAGTCCGTGGAAGGATCGCGCACTCGAGTCGTCCTCTTTGCATTTAAACGAGACCTTTGATGTCCATTAGATGTTTTCAGAGTGATTCGACTTGCTCTCTGAAGCGGTTTCGTTTCGTTCATCGTCGTCTGGGTATCGATTACTTTCTAGAGGATACATCACAATGATGGATGATGAAGAGGATAGATTCAATTCATGAGGGAATGGTTCGTCCAGTCGAGGCCGGGATCCACTCCTGCATTGTTGAAGACGATAAAACACTTACAATGACTCAGAGTTTGGGCAAGGAACCACGTAGCATGCAAGGATCTCGGTATCATTATTATGGTTACTATCATGGTTATATTGATCTAAAGTAGAACCTCAGACTAGGACACACTTCAACCTCACAAGGTGAAATCCACCAAAAGAACTCCCTAGAAAAGTATAAGGGAATATCCGTTTTATATAAAGATCAATGTTGGAAGTGTGGTACCGCAGTGAACTTGTCATATTTCTAGCCCACATTCGCTCATATCTGTGCCCTTATCACTGATCGCTGGTGAGGGGGATGGTACCTGGAGATATAGAATTGTGAATTTGAGAGATGGAAAAGAAGACCATCGAAAGTCGACAAACCGTTCCAGACTTGCAGGGAATATCGCCACCACACCCCTTTCCTGGTGCGGGTGTCCCGTTGCATGTCCATGATGACTGTAATTTTGTTCGGCAACAGAAAGAGAGGCGGAAACGGGAAACATACATCTCGTTGCTGGGGTTGGCCAATTGCTTGATACGGTTCAGCCCCGATACATTCAGCAAATGTGACCAGCTGCGGAGAATTGAGGGTGAAAACGAAGAAGCGAGTAAAGATAATACAAAGAACATACCTGGTAACCCTTGCTTTGGAAAAGGTTGATAGCATATGGAATCAATTCGGTTGCAGTGGTATCTAGTCACGACACAGTGAATCAAGAGCATATTACACAGTGTACAGTAGGACAACTCACTGACGATCTCATGTTGCACGAAAAGAGCGTTCGACAGGCGATCATTGGCTACCTTATCATAAATGGCTTTGGAAACCTCGACCGAAGCACCGGTCGCATCCTGGTTGTCTTGATCCCATATCGCAAGACTTTGATTTCTCGAGAACGAGATACTCTCAACTGTGCCATTGGTATTGCCGTATGGTGGTCTCATAAAACCCGGTAACACTCCAAGAATCTTTGCAAGCGCCTCCTCCACACGGTACATGCCGTCCACGATCTGGTCGGTCGATAGAGTCGTCAGATCCGCATGTGACCATGTATGACTTGCTATTTGGTGGCCAGCCTTGTAAGCGTACTGCATGTCGGAGACACGGTCCTCATTATAAATGCAAGCATAGTTGTTTCCGTTCCAGAAGAATGTCGCTTTGGCGCCGGCGTTGGTGAAAGCGTCGGAGATTCCACGCAGGTGAATAAACGGGCCTGATTTTTGTCAGCCGAGAACGTTAGAATGAATAGGTTGGTTTACCGTCATCCTGATCAGAAAGTGTTTAGGCAAAAGTGGAATATAAACTCGATGATTTACGTACGAGTGTAAGAGCAATCTGATTAGGTTTCTTGCAGCTCCTATAGACGCTAAAATCGCTCTATGGACGCGTTAGGAGATATGGGAAGAGGAATTTGTGTGCTCACATGAGTGGGTGAAGCGACCACTACAGTGGCCACAAAAAGGGCGCCAAGAAGGGAGCGGAATGCCATTAGTAACGAAGGAGAGTGTTGAGGAATAATTCGAGTCTGGAACGAGCCCAACACATTTTTTATAAGAGAACTTATTTTTGACACGGTAGGGGTTAGTCAACTTACCGCTCACACAACGGAATCTAATTTTCTACGATTCATTTCCAACAGATCAAGCCACCCGTTTGGGCGTTGAGTTACTTAGTTGTAACAAGTCAGAAATGTCTCGTTTCGCGTCGATACAGGAGCTTAAGCGCTCGTACATTCAATGAAGTGTTTTATCGAGCCGATCGTCGAGCTGGAGCCCACCAACGGCGGTTTCAGAGCCGGCTATTGGCCACCGATTTGACCCAGGCTCGAACTGGGGACATTTTGTGTAAGGACGGGCTCTGTATCATGTTAGACAGATGCGATAACCAACTACGCCATTAAACCATCTACCCGAAATGGGCCTCCTCGTGAGGGGTCTTTCGATACTGATCTGTCGAGACGAGAAGACCTAGGGATCAATACAGTTGATCAGTTCAACCCCGTCTTTCTGAAAGGGCTCTCAAGACTATTGCCCGTCGCTATTCTTCTTTTGGCATCAAGTTTCCTTTGATTTGCTCGTATGCTCATTACTGCTCCTACCCGATCTCCTTTCTCTCGTACACGACCTTGATTTTACTTGCCTCCGCGGACTTCGATCTTAATCTGTTTCTCGGATTAGCCTGTAATCGCTGCTTATTAGATGGATCTTCCACGGTAATCGGTTCGTTTAGGATTTTGAACGAGCACCAAGGGGTTGAGAATTGTGAACGGAAGGTGAGAGGTAGACGGCAAGCTAAAAGGGGCGGCTGGTGAAAAATTGAGATAATGGGTGGAGGGGTTATACAGAGGTCGTAGCACAGACCTTGGTGTTCGGGCTGACAACAGTAGCCATTTTCGATTCCTCGAAGATCCCTTACACGAACGACAGCGAGCACAGAGATGGCGATCGTGTCTGATTTGGAGTTTATGTGAAATTTACATGCGGGAGCTGGTCGGCGTTTTTCGAGCTCTATTGAAGGGCGTGTTATAGTCATGCTCTCGCTGGTATTCCTGTTGTTGACCACTTATCCCATGAGTAGCCAACCTAACAAAGTACGCCCAGTTTCCGATCAAACTACACTCTCCAGAGAACAACTGTCAAACCGCTCGTTTAAATGCAAAGGAGACAACTCTTTCATCTGAGGCTCAGGGACATCACATGAATCGTATGTAGAAGGCCGGACTGACACGCTATTTGCGTATCAGTCGAGCCACAAGGTATCACATATCCCTTACCCATCATTTTCCGAACCGTTTGGACATGGGACCGTTACTTCTCAAGGACACGCGTTATCAGAAAGGAATGGACGTGAATAGTCTACTAGATACTGAGCATACTCAATTCACGGGTCCAGGTACAGAGACGGAGATGCACAAATAATTCGCAGACATGGACACCCGCTCACATCCAAACCTAACGATTACAGTTACGGAGAGGCTTTAGGGAAAGACACTCATTGAGAAGTGTGACGGAGCAGATGAAACGACAACACAATAGAAAAGCACGGCGTTTACCCTTTGTACCCCGGCTACCCACGTATACTCATGAGTGAGTCGTCGATAGACTTCTCCTCCACGCTGCTTCAGTTGGTCCCTTAGCTTGGGAATCCCGGAAGGTCACCCCCTTACCGTGATATCGTCAGGTACTATTGTGCGTCAATTCGTCCCGATTCACGGCTATCGTGATGGCTGCTGCATGCAGTTTATAACGCTAGGAGTTGAGAAGCTTTTGACGAAATGCAGCCAAGAGGTACGTCTTAGACCGATACAGACGTTCGAACTTTATCGCTTGAATTATCGACTTATTGACCTACCAGAATAATCTACCATGCTTTCTTCCCAGGTAGCTAGACTCGGTTCCTCAAATTTCAAAGCCCGGGCACTGAATCGACGCCGTTACTGTCGGGCCAGAAATACCGGATACAGGTATCTTGCGCGGGACTTTGACTCACGTTAATGAACAGCTCGTTATTTTATTTGTCAATGCCTCAGTCTGGTATCAGAGGAAACAATCAAAAATTGAACGTAACTTTGAAAATTGTGTGGAAGTGAGCATGCTCCGCAGCCCCAGACCACCGGTCCCGAAAATATAAAATAGACATATAAATAGTGAATAACCACGCAAAAGGACCGATAAAAAATTTACTGGGACGTAAGCACAACCGAAAGAGGTTTTCATCCATCAGCACTCAAAGTTGAGCCTGCTGCGGATACATCTGTGGTTGAACCACACGAGATTGCGGCTGACCAAAACTCATCATCCCCATCTGTCCTTGTGGTGGTGGTGGTGGTGGTGGAGGTGGAAGTGGTAGTTGCGGTGCCTGTTGACCGACATACTGTCCCGGTTGAGCAGCAACACTCGCCGGTTTCTGATTGACAGCAAAATAATCTGCTTCGCTCGCTCCGATCAACCAAACGTTTTTCCCTCGAGATTTTCCAACGATGCAAAGGATATCAATTACGATGGCGTAGCCCATCAATGTCATCCAGGTAAGGAACGAAAGTGCTTCGATTGCCCTGTATTCCGAGCAGAATATTTGGTCGATCACTGGAAGAAAAAAATAGAGAAGGACGGAATATGAGAACACGTAACGACAACGAGAGATTAATACGCACTCAAAAGCAGGTCAGAACACGAAATGCTCGAAGGGTAGACGAGAGCCTCGACTTCAGCAAAGAGTGCTCCATTCGCTAACCAGATAATCGATAATACGCCCATCACGGGAATTTCTACAACGTTCATGGTGACCCAAGCTTTTTTTCCGAGTGATCCGACAACCAAACTGTTTTTTTTAGATGCACCAGAAGTGTCAGTAACTGGGAACGGGAGAAAAAACACAGGAGAACGTACAAGACGGGTATAGTGAGGATTGTGAGTACCGATACAGCGATACCTAATCCTCGGGGACTATTAAAAATATCCGGTGCGCGAATGCTCAGCATATGTCCAGCGATGGCAAGCGTAGCCATGCTAAATAACAATACGACAGCTTAGTGTTGGAAACAGCGTCATCAGGACAATCCATCAGTACATATGCGAATGCGTTGACGGAAGCGAGTTTTACCTAGAAGGACGATTCTCAAAATCGTGATTGCTGCCATTCCCGTTCGTGTTTGGGGATTCAGGGAAAGAGAGGATTGAAGCCACTTGCCCAAGGGACCAGAATAAGAGACCGACTTAAAGATACAGGGGGAACGAGAATGAGATTTGGGATATATATACCCCCGGGCCGTCATACGGTTGACTCCCTCTACCTTGCCACACCGCCCACGTCAATCGTTTCATGGAACCGCTGCCAAATACAAGTAGTCTATCCCTACATGCTTTGCAGTAGTTCTGGTCAAATCGAAAGTGTCCTCCACCCCAACCGAGTGAAAATGGAGACGCTTTATGCAATCAAGCTTCTGGATGTATCAGTGAGGTTCACGGCATAAGGAAAACTAAGCACGGAAAAAGAATTATTTATTACAGGAACTCATGGTGGGCGTACCAGCCAACACTGGCAAGAAATGTCGGGATAGGCTGTTCTGACATAAAAGGTGCAGAGAACCGGCGTTATTTGATGGAGTAGGTCGGATTATCAGTTCGCATCACGCTCTGCACGTCAACACGAACCGTTGAACCACGCGAGGGGCGCTGAACGCCCTTGATTTATGTACTGTTCTCCTCACTACGGATGACACCCTCGGATTGATTGCAACCCAGTGCTAGCGCCCATTCTCGTGCAGCGGGCGTGTCTGCCGAGTCAACTATGCTCATAGGTAGTCTACAGGCTAGACGTTTGTTGGGGTGTTACCGAGAGCGAGACTGGACAAATATGTCATCGAATTTGGCGTGTTGTCGCGGCAACGTGTTGCATTATATTCGACCTCAAATACTTTTTAGAGCAAGAACTATAGGGAAATAATATTGTAGTAGCAAAAGGCAGCGCGTGAACTTACCTATGCGCAATGCCACGGCCTGTCACCAGATCCTGATTGATATTCCGATCCAAACTCCGAGATGAGGAAAACCGCAAAGGAGTGACAAAGATGTCCAGAGATTCGATAACCTGCAGAATCAGGACATGAACAGACACAATGAGATTTGGAAAGATATGATCCAAAAGGTGATCAACAATATCACCACCTACAAGAAAAATGAAAAGCGTAAACAAGATGGCCAGTTTGTCTTGTGGAAAGCCAAAACTGAATCATCCCCCTGATGACCTTCTAAACCACAAATAGAGGGTTATTTTCTTGAGAAAAATCAATGGTCACTAGTACTTACATGGCGCTGAATAATCCAACCACTTCCCAAAGAACGGTCCTGTATTCTAGCGGCGTCCTTTGATGCCAGTTCCCGAATCGAAGAATGGCAGACAGTAAATACATAAACCTCTTAGGCAACAAGATCTCATTAAATAATCTCTTGGTCAAAATGAATCAACAACGTCCTCTGTAGGCTAGTCTCGAGAATCCAAACTCAAAAAAGAAGGAATTAGCGTAAAGTTCCAGATGCCAATTCCATCATAACGCAGCTCCCTGTCATGTCAGAACAGTGCCGTCTGCCATCACAAGACCCGCAAAATATTGACAGGGAAACATTCTTTAGCTATAAATCGTTTAGTAGTGACATCTGAGCTGCCAACCAAGTGTCTCTGTTGCAAATTCAGAATTACCTCTTCCGCCCATTATCCAATACCTAATAGTTACAGCCTACTTATGTTTCCTCAGCCTCTATGACATTCCATTATGCCTTTATATTCCCGGACTATTTGAAATCTACATGATCTATAAGTACTACAATGTCCTACCTAGCAAACCAGACTTGAATCCACTCATTTCTCATCAGTTCTACAACAGGTTATGGGCCCCGGCCCCAACTAAACTCTCACACATTCTTACCTCTTGCTCTTACTTGCTCTCATCTCATCATGTCGACTGAATCCTCCGCTGGCACTAGCGCATATCGAATCCAACATCTCTCCGGTGTCGAGAATTACTCCACCTGGCGGATCAAGATGTTGGATATTCTCACGGATCTGGGAGTCGAGGATTACGCCCTCGGCACGAACCAGAAGCCCAACAAACCCGACAACGACACTGATGTGATTGCATGGAAGAAGAAGGATCGACAAACTCTCTCTGCCATCCGTCTCCGTGTTGGTGACCAACCCCTCGTCTATATTTCAGACTCGGCAACTTCTGCCGCTGCCTGGAAAACACTTGCTGACATGTATCAGCCCAAAGGGGCTATTGGTATTATACTGGCACGTCGAAAGCTATTCCGTGCCCAGTGTCAAGAAGGTGAAGATATTGAGGAACACATTCGGACCATGACTCGCTACCGACAGCAATTAGCCGCCCTTGATTCCAAACTCTCA